CTAGAACCCGGTGTGCCGGCGCCGCTAGGCGGAGGATTAGCCTAGTGAGCCGCAGCGCCGGCCAGTGTTCCAGTCTTTTACTATTTACATGTTAAACTCTGGTCCCCTGTTCTAAGAGGAAAACAAATTTTCTAATGTTTATGATTTCTTTAGTATGTAAATGAGGATACTTTTAAAGGTACATGGGGAGTTGGAAGGAAGTCAGTCTATTTTGGTACAAGAAAATTTTGAAATCCATGCTTCTTCATATTTTTTCTCCATGTCATGAAATTTTCTAGTAACTCTCAATACAGAAAAGCTGTTTTATACATTTTACCTTTGAACTCTTCCTTCTAATAACTCTCCTAGTCTTAGCAGTCATGTGCAGGGATTTTTTTAAGGGGACTATTCTCTTGTAATTTTTTTTTTAATTTCATAATTACACCTTTGTCTATATAACAGAATAAGTAAACAAGCCTGGAAGAATACCGAGTAGACTGTTTTATTTGACCAGACCTATTTTTGAAGTGTGTACCTTTAGATAGTAATGCACCTTTGTTTTTTTCTCTGTAACTGCATACTACCATAGCTGCAGCACACATGCACTTGTCTGGCCCCTGATGACATTGGAGTTTGTGACCCTTGCTATAAAGGATAAGATGGTGAATTATTTCTTCTATTGCTATCATCAGTGGAAAAGTACTCATTATATGAAGTAAAAGCTGGAATTAATAGTGTTCATGTTATTGATTAGTGGTTCTTATGAATTGCTAATATAATTTAAAAGTAATATTTTTATGTGAATAAAGGCTTAATCAAAACATTTTCTATTGAAATAGAGCAACATGTGCAATGGAAATTGAAATTATTAATATTTAAGATAAGATGATTAATTATCAAATCTAAGAGTTAACAAAAATGAAAATACTATAGTAATGTTTGGGAGAATTAGTTGCTTTAAAGTTGTGAACTATCAAAAAGGTTAATTTTGTTCACAGATACAGTTATTAACCCAACCAGTATAAAACTATGTAAATTCTCTTGAACTTATATGAATTATGTAAAAAATATGGTATATAATATATAGTTTATATATAAGTTATAAGAAATGTATTTACCTTGGAAATTTGTAATGCCATTAAGATGATGACAAATGAAAATGTAAATATTTAAAATTAATACAACTTGGAAGTTAATAATCAGCTAGAAAATATAACAAAGCGTAAAATGCCTAGAAATGAGTTTTTAAAGAAGCGTATAAAACAAAGAAGTACTATAAAACTCTGCTGAAGGGGTAGGCATTGTGTCACAGCAGGTTAAACCATTGGTGGGGATATTGCATCCCATATCTGAATGTGCCAGTTTGAATCCCAGCTACTCCATTCCCTGTTCAGCTTCCTGCTGATGCACCCTAGGAAGCAGCAGAAAACTCAAATGCTTGGTTCCCTCTTGGCTTCAGCCTGGCTCAGCCTTGGCTGTTGTGGGCATTTGGGAAGGAACATAGAAAATTGATGTACTCCCTGCCCCTGTCTTGCAAGTAGATAAAAATAACACTACACACACACACACACACACACACACACACACAACTTTAGGGGCTGCCACCATGGCTCACTTGGTTAATACTCTGCCTGCGGTGCCAGCATCCCATATGGGTGCCGGGTTCTAGTCTCGGTTGCTCCTCTTCCAGTCCAGCTCTCTGTTGTGGCCTGGGAAGGCAGTGAATGATGGCCCAAGTGCTTGGGCCCCTGCACCCACATGGGAGTCTGGGAGGTAGCACCTGCCTCCTGGCTTTGGACTGGCGCAGCACCGGCCGTAATGGCCATTTAGGGGGTGAACCAACAGAAAGAAGACCTTTCTCTCTGTCTCTCTCTCTCTCACTGTCTAACTATCTGTCAGAAAAAAAAAAAAAAAAAAAAGAACTCCATTGAATATCATAAAAAAAAAAATGGAAAAACATACTGCACCTAATAGGATAGAAAAACTCAGTGTTGTGCCTGGCAGACATGATTTTCAAAGCTATGCTGAACTTCTGGTCCTCTATAGGAGTAAAAGTGAGGGCCTCCAAAAGTGGGATCACTGATAAATTACCTCCATCTTATGTGGACACATTAAAGAAAGAAGGTGGAGCCATGGTAAGGGTACTTCAAAAATTGTGGAAAAGTGAATTGAAACGTAAATATTAGTGTAAAAAAATTTGACATCTGCATATAGTTTTTTCATAATATGCATTTCATGAACTCCTTGAAGATGCTTTGTATGCATGGACTTTAATTTGTTTATGTGTGTGTCCAAATAACCATATCTGGTAATTCCGCTTTCCATGAGTATTTTGAAGTGCCATCTTAGAACAGTCCTCTAATGAACCTTGTCTATTGTTAATGATCAAACCTGAATTAAGATATGTATACTGGTAATGGCCACAGCTCTCTGGCGCAAAAATCATCTCTCCTAAGCCTAAAATGAATCATGTGAGATCTAGTTTATTTTCCCCATGCATAGTCACACATAAATGTAACCAGGTATATCCACATGGCAACAAGAGCAAGAAGTAGCAGTACCAACAAAAGCTACAAAAAATTCTTGGAGTAAAAACCTATTAGAATTGTCATGCATAAAACCACATGCTCACTAAGTTGAATAAAACAGCATCTGTTACGATTTTTTAAATCTGCCTTGTCATTTTTTACAAACAAAATACAAGTCTTGGAAAATACCTGGAGCTAACTGAATGTGCATGCTTAACAATAGATTCTAGCAGGCTGAAGTGAATGTTAGTGAAGTGGAAGATGTGGAGAGGCTGTGCAACAAGGAGTACAAAAGAGGAAAAAATATGGAAAATACCAAACAGAAGGGAAGCATAAGACTCGAAAGAAAATACCGTGAAAAGATCTGTTCTGTGTTTCAAGTCCCAGAAAGAAAGTGGCCAGGGGGCAACAAAGGCCAAAGAACTGAAAGGCCAGACAGACCAATAGACGAGAAGAATGTCCCAAAACAGATCTGAGAGCACTTGATTTATGATAAAGTGGCACTTTGGAGTAATGAAGAATGGTTGCTACTTCCAGTAATTGGTTCTTAATTAGCTGTTCATGTAGGAAAAAATTAAATTGCATCATTTTCATAAGCAATCAGTATTGAGACCTAAATGTGAAGGGAAATCAATAAAGCCTTTAAGGAATAATGTAAAATACCTTTTTTTTTGGTTAGCTTAAGACTTTAAAAAATTTATTTTCATTTTATTTGAAAGACTATCAAGCTGATTCACTCCCCAAATGCCTGCAACAGGCTGATGTGTGGAGCCTGGACCTCCCTCAGTTCCTGTCTCCTACATGGGTAGCAGGAACCCAACCTGTTGCCTCCCAAGGTACACATTTAATAGGAAGCTGATAACTGGGCATGGAGCTGGGACAGGCATCCTACTTGGCAGCTTACCTGCTGTATCTGATGCCCATTCCTAAAATTTGTTTTGATTTGTGGGTATTGGGAGATTTAACAAGACACAAAATGACTACATTACAATTAAGAACTTGAGGATAAAGCACTTAAGGGAGTCAGAAAAGGGAAAAGGTATTTGCAGTACAACAAAAGGCTTTGACCTAAAATATGTTAAGAATCAAACAAAGCTGTAAATCAGTGAGAGAAAGTCCAGGTCCGGAGAAAAGTGGATAGAATATTTAACAGTTAACCAAGGATGAGACCCAAATGATCAAAGATATTTCACTTCGTTAGTAATCAGAGAACTGGATATTTAATCTAGTTTTATTTATAATGCAAAGTTTAAGCAGCTAAAAACCAGTAGTAAGGGTTCAGCTAAAGTCATATATTGTTTGAATGCTAGTTAGTCTTTTACAAGTGATTTAGAGTTATGTTAACAGGCTTATAATAAATTGACAGAATACTTATCATCCCATTTTGAAAAGAAAATGACCTACAGTTATATGCACACATATGAATATGTATTTGTGTGAATGCATATATTGCATTGAATTTGGCAATATTTCAGAAAGTTGGTAGCTATATGGTGGTGTGATTTGTAATGATTTTCATTGTGTTTTTACTTCTGTTTTTCCAGTATTTATAAGTTAGACATGTACTGCGTTATTGATACAATTGATGAACTAGAATATGCTGAAATAGGGCACTATATCCATTTTTCCATTGTGAGAGTCAGTTTTCTGGTTCTTTAATTAGAAAGTTGATGAGGTGAACCACGCCTTTTGTTAAGTGTGTTCATGCATTTAGGCTTTATATTATGTGCGATACCAATATAGGCAATATGGAATTAGTATTCTAAATGGATAGTTCAGGACTTTATAGTCTCTTGTGTCTTAAATGGGCCTTCTTGTTGTTGTTGTTGTTGAACTGTGATTAATGTCTAATCTTTCCTCCTGTTAATATTTTTGCTCACCTATTTTCCACTCTGCTTTTATGGTGCTTAACTGTCCTTCATTCATTCACTCATTTTTTCTCTTCCCATTTTATAGTTTAAGGGCTTTTCCTAGATAAACTGTAAGAAATGGAACTGATTTTGATAGCTTTAAAGTCTTAAATTTCCTGAAGATTTTTCTAATTTCTAGACTTTTTTTTTTTACAAGAAAGAAAAAGAACCCTTTCTAAAATAGTGTTTCTGATGAAAAGAGTGAATGTATTATTTGAAATCTAACATGAGGCATGTGGGTTTTAGCAGGAGGTTTGTTTTCTGGCTTTTTCTCCGTCATATCAGAGTGGTTTTAGGGATTGGTTTTTGGGTTTTGGTTTGGTATAATTTTTAGTTTCAGATGTTGACAGATTTTTAAAAATATGATATGTTGTGTTTTGCCACAGCTTCCAGACAGCCTAAGGATAAATTTAGCATTTATTGAGCTGATAAAGCTTACTTGTCAGCTTTAGCTTACAATTGGCTTTAAATTATTAATTGTCCTTTTTATCCTGTTTGGAAGTGGAGGTAAAAATATGAGTCTATATTTATTGTAATTATGTATTCATATTTACTTGAGTCATGTTGTTGTGAATTCTTTTAGCCAACAAATGGAATCTTCTTGAGCATGTTTCTAATTGTTTTGCCATTGGAATCTATGGCTCATGGGCTCTTCCATGAATTGGGCAACTGTTTAGGAGGAACATCTGTTGGATATGCCATTGTGATTCCTACCAACTTCTGCAGGTACAGTAACCTAGTATAGTTGGTAATGACTTCTTGATTCATAACATTTTCTTAGGATGTGTGTAAATATGAATAAATAACTCATTTTTTACAAGCTGTAATATTTTCAAAGTATATACCCTGTTGCATTTCTGTATTATAAATTTTTTAAAGGCAGTAAGAATAGGGTTCAATTTAAGTATTTTGGTAAGTTTGATTAGCTTATATTTTAGCTGGAAGTAAAAAAATACTAGGACCTATCCTTAGAAAATTCATTCATATCTTGTTTAAGAAAATGTCCTAAACAAGGAACATTGAACCTGAATCCAGAATTCTAGTTCTCTTACCTTAGGCAAATCATAATTTCTCCAAATCTGAGTGTCGGTATCTAAAGTGCAAATGGTAATGCCTTTTCTGCCTATCTCAGCAATTGTTTTGGAAACTAACAAGATTATGAATGTAAGAACACTGCATACTGAAAAAATGCCATACAAATACCAAAAATTTAAGAAGATGAGCAGTAAAGTTCAATTCCAAAAGAACTTTTGTCCCCAAATGAATGGGAGATCTGTATGAATCTTTACCTATTACTACATTTTTTTATTTTATAGCTAAATATTTTTAAAATGGGAGAAAAATATTTGCCAGTCATGAATTCTGATGACCAGATTTTCATCATACTTTATTGGAGGTTGGAGGTACCTTGAAATAAAAAACAATTTATCTGCTTTCAAATATTTGCCATAAAATAGACTATTTGTAGTAAATTTTCCTCCACATCAAAGGGTTAAGAAGTAGATTTTCATGGGAAATGCTAGAGATTTGGAAGACATGACAACTTTGCCAAGAGTGTGTATGGAAGTAATAATATGCACTGCTAAGTTTTTATTCCGTTATATTGCTTTTTAATATTTTTGTTATTGTTAAAACATTAAGTTCCATATATGCAAGATTTTGTTACAAGAACAGTACTGATAATACATTAAGTAAAATGTAAAGTTTTCAGATCCCTAATAGAGAAATTCCTTTTTTAGATAGGAGTGATGATTTTTTTCCCCTTTCATTATTGGTTGTCTCATTTCTGCTAGATATAAGCCTTAGTTTAATATTTTTACTGGACTACCATTTTATATGTTGCAGAATCTAAATCTTCAAGTTCATGTTCAATAGTATAGAGGCAATTGATCTTTTAATAGTGCTTGTAAATGCCGTTTGTTAGTAGATAATTTCCTGTATCATTTACATAAGTTACTGAAACTTGAACACAATACTTTATACTTTTCAATGTGAAAATTAAATGTTTAATTAAAACATCTCATTTTACCTGTTAAGATTTTTTTCTCAAGAATAAGAAGTTCTAATAATCCCCATCCAGGTATTCTTGAAATGCTTCGTATAATTTTGAGCTTAAAAAGTTTGCTGTCCAATGTGTTATTTGGTAAGTATTTGTAAATAGGGAACAAAGAATACTATCTACATTTGGAGATATTCTTCCAGCATTTAAATTACATTTTTTCTTAACAAAATAACCAATTTTTAGAAACTAGGTTTTGGTTCTAAGCTTAATTCTTAACCTTATAGGAATTTTAGAAACGCTGATTTTTCAAAATCCTTCCATTTAGATTGCAGCAACTATTATGCTTCTGAGGTGATCAATTATGAATGATCTGCAAGAATATAACATAAAGCATTTCTTAAGCACTAAAATAATTGTTTTGTCTTTTAGTCCTGATGGTCAGCCAACATTGCTTCCACCAGAACATGTACAAGAGTTAAATTTGAGGTCTACCGGCATGCTCAACGCTATCCAAAGGTTTTTTGCGTATCACATGATTGAAACGTATGGATGTGACTATTCCACAAGTGGACTGTCTTTTGATACTCTGCATTCCAAACTTAAATCTTTCCTTGAACTTCGGACTATAGATGGACCTAGGCATGATACATACGTTTTATATTACAGTGGGCACACGCACGGTTCAGGAGAGTGGGCTCTAGCAGGTAAAGGCACTTTTAGCAGTTCTACCATGATGGAGATATACATAGGAATATTTGTGTGATCTAGTCTTCACACAGAGACATTAAATTTCTCAACTTTTCACTTCATACTTTATCAGGTATACATATAGCTCTATTTCGTTTCTTTTCTTCTCTGGTATACTTCTTTAGAATAATTTTAGTAATCTCTAATGATAAGGTTTTGAGAATTGTCTTGAAATAATTGGAAAGAAGAAAATTCTGCTTGATTTGAGACTTGGAACTAGTTACCCTAATTAGTTTTACTAATTTCATGCCAGATTTGTAACTGGGGCTTTATTTTAAAGAATAGTATTGTTGGAAATTCTTTTAATACATAGTGAATAACTCAGTGATTGTCTAGTAGTAAAGGTGAATGAATTTACTACTGGGCACATCTGAAGCATTAGCTGCAGTGTACTAAGTACTTTATACATAGTATATAAGATGTGGAATTCTTTGACTTAGATACCATCACCTTTATTATGTTCTTTTTTAAAGGAGGAAGTAGAAGCTGAAAGTAGTTACATAACATCTCTGTGGTCATACCACTAACTGAAAGGGCCATGATTCAGTCCAGGTCTATCCTAAAGTGTATTTTTCCCTCACTGTACCATGTTGCCACCAAGGGTGAAAGCTATGATGATAGATAAGTAGCATGGTCTGGCTAAGTAGATATTTGTTAGCATTAACCACCCATTTTCAAAAAAATCAGAATGTATAAGAAGCTACTCAATGTGTAAACTACTTGAACATAGTTTATAAAACAATTTAATTTACCAGGAGGTTTATTTACAACATAGAATATGACTTTTTAACCTTTAGGCACTTCACTTCCAGGTAGAGTATATCATTATGTATATTCTATCTCAGAGCCCAAGAGAAAAAGTTCTAGTCAATTCACAATCTTCACAAACAAAATTTGAGATCTCTAGGAATGATTATTGAAAACTTACTGGAATGTTGGTAATGAACTATCCCTAGATCAATAGGAAAAAAGGCATAATTTCAGTGACCATGCATATGTTTTTAGTTAAGTATGATTAAATTTATTGAAGTTTTTTTAAATTGACATCAGCTTGTACAGTTTTATGGGGGGTACAGTGTTATATTCTAACACATGTATACCAGTTAAATGGATCAAGTCATGTAATTAATAGTTCCATCTCCTTATTTCTTTATGTTTGGAGCCTTTGAGTTCCTTTTAGTTCTTTGTAAAATGTGCAGTACATTACTGTGAACTATACTCATCCCAAAGAGTAGTTTTAAAAACAACCTTTGTGTATTTACATGAAGGATTTATTACTTAATGTTTATATAAACACTTTAAGAAGTTTGTGTTTTTCTTCAAATATTTTAAAAACTTATTTCAAGTAGTTTTTATGGATGGCTTTGGATGTAAATTCTAAACATATAGCCAACCCATAATTTAATCAGCTTTTTCTTTTCCTAGGAAAAATCAAAGGCACTAAAGTAATATATAAGTCATTGTTCTTAAATTTTCATATATGATGAGTTGGGAATAATTTATGAAATTTTTGGAAGGTTTATTTTATTTGAAAGGGTTCCTGAGAGGCAGAGAGAGAGAGAGATAGGGAGAGAGAGAAAGATAGATCTTCCATCCAGTGGTTCACTCACCAAATAGCCACAATGGCCAGGGCTAGACCTGGACAAAGCTAAGAGTCAGGAGCTCCATCTGGGTACCTAGCATGGGCTATCTTCCCAGGCACATTAGTAGGGAGCTGGATCAGAAGTGGAGCAGCCAGGACTTGAACTGGAACTCATAAAGGATGTGAGTGCTTCAGGTGGCTGATTTACCTGCTATGCCATAGCACTGGCCCCTATGAAATCTTAAATGTCTAGCAGATACATTCTGCAATGGTATATACTATTTTTGATGCTACCATAAATTGAATTTTGCTGTTAGCCAGGAAGATTTCAGATCTTGACAGGATTCTGGCTTATCCCACAATTCAGCAACTGCATTGTGTCAGGCCTAACCTGAGGCACCTGGTTTACTCAGGTTGAACTAGGCTCAGAAGCCCTCCTTTTTAGTCACTTCTTACCCTGGTTTGTCTCAGATACAGCCTCAGAGGCTCATTCTGCCTCAGAAATAGCTTTGAACACTCTTGCACTGAGGGAGTGCTTTAATTTATCCCCAACCAAGTGACAAAGAACTTTAAACTCCAATAGTTTATTAATGATTAATCTAACAACCTTTGAAATAGGAAACGTTATGAGTAGATTTTCTTTGGGATAGTAAGTTAAAACCATTCTAGAACTAAATACCATTGTGGAAAAGAAATTTTTATTTATCCTTCATCACATACTTTCACTCATGATACTTTTTGGAACATGTAGTCTTACATTTATGGGGTTTCATAATAAGTTACCTGATATTTTTGCCTCATTGCTTGAGGGTAAAAAACAATTACAGTAATTACAAGAGAAATAAATGAGAAAAATGTAGATGATCTATAAAGCAGTTTATCACAGATAAACAAAGCCTTTAAAAAGCAGTCTCAGTTGCTTGAAATGCATCAGATGGCTGTTATCTGAAATGAATGTAAGTACTTTGCATCTGGGCCAAAAGCCAAAGAAAGCAAAGCAAAAGAAAATTAGAGAAAGAATTTGAAAGGCTTTAATTGTGCTTTAACTCTCTTGTTGATATCTAAAGAGTATTTTTAAAAGAGAATTAGGGTAGAATGTGCTAAAGAATATTTATTGAAATAGTTGTGAATTACATGTTAGGCAATGATTTGTGACAGATGGAATTTGTATAATGACTCTTGTAATTTATGTCATCCTCTGATCTCTTAGAAATTTAATAGAGCAGGCAATAATGAAAACTTAACATCTGGTGATTTTTGAAAAAGTGGTATCTTCCAGTGAAACAACACATTGGTAATATGTGGAAACTATATTTGAAGTAGTGCCTCTGAGATGATGTTCTTCAGTGTTAAAGCAGCTCAATTACTTTTCATTCTTATAGTCTCAAATATATCAGGCTGAGTCTAACATACAGCAGGCTGTTGGAAAAAAGAAAATTAGTTATATATTAAAGAATGTGTTTCAGCCTGGCTGTAGAAGTCATGTTAATACTAGAATTCAAATTCCCTGGTGATATCATTTTGATAGTTTAGCAAAAAGGATGGCTACTTTTGGTAGAGATGCATGTTCTAAAGTTAGGTGGTTGAATCTTTTAGTAGTAAATTGTAGCATATTAAAACTTTTTCTAATTATAAAAATAACATGCTCAATGTGAACATTTTAGAAAACAGAAAAGTACTTTTTAAAACCACCAGATATCCAAACACCCCACAATAATTATATAACTTATGCAGGTATGATTCCACATCATGCTTTTTTCCCCCCATATAAAGACATCTTACCATTAAAAGTTTTTTATAAACATTATAAAATTCTTTCCTAAGGTTATACCATAATTCATTTCCATCCCCCACCTTTTATTTCATACTATCTAAGATGACAATAGGAAGAAAATATTTATATATAATTTTTACCCCCACTTCTTGTGTGTGTGTGGTGTGTGTATTCATTCCTTTGTTCTGAGTATAGATAGGAAGAGGGTTTTTCTTTTTATAGGTACCTATATATGAGGATAGGAAATGAGTGTGGAACAGAGGTCAACAGTTTTTGTAGAAGTCCAGATATTTTTTGGCTTTGTGGGCTGGAAAATCGATTGCAACTACTCACTTCTGCCATTGTAAACTGAAAGTAGCTATAGACAGAATGTAAATGAATGAACATGGTTGTGTTCTAATGGAATGTTATTGATGGAATAATTATATACTATTTAATTTTTCTATAATTTCACATATCACAAACTATTACTCTTTTGTTTTTTTCTGTCAACTATAAAAATACAAAATCAACTCAGCTTGTGGGCCATATAAAAACAAGCTGGATTTGGCCCACAAGCCAGTGTGCTGCCCCAGGTGTAGAATATTAGCATTCCTATTTTTTTCATTAAGTCTAACTATATAATACAATTTTTGACTGAGCATATCCCTTTTTAATGTAAGTAACAAGGATTTTTTTTTCCTGAGATTGAAAATCTTTTAAAGAAGGATTTATTTATTTGAAAGGCAGAGAGAGAGAGAGAAAGTGAGGGAAGAGGGAGGGAGGAAGGGAGGGGGAGGGAGGGAGGGAGAGGGATCGTCTATTCGATTGTTCACTCCCCAAAGGGCCACAATGGCTGGGGCTGGGCCAGGTCAAAGCCAGCAGCCTGGAGCTTCTTCTGGGTCTCCCATGTGGATGCAGGGGCCCAAGCACTTGTGCCATCCTCTGCTTTCCCAGGCACATTAGTAGGGAGCTGAATCAGAAGTGGAACAGCCTGGCTTTTCAAACCAACATCCATATGGGATGCCGGCACTGCAGGAGGTAGCTTTATCCACTATACCACAGCACTGGCCCTGAAAATCTGTTTTAAAAATACCTTCTGAAAAGGTACTTTGAAAGTAACACATTTTCACTTTTTTTTGGCTTATATATTTAATTCTGAGAATCTAAAGAAAATACACTTGAAACAAGAGTATTCTTAATGCAAGGCTTCAGAAATTGTACCGTTAAATTTTCTCTCATTCCAGGTGGAGACATACTGCGCCTTGAGACACTTTTAGAATGGTGGAGAGAAAAGAATGGTTCCTTCTGTTCTCGTCTAATTATCATTTTAGACAGTGAGAATTCAACCCCTTGGGTGAAAGAAGTGAGAAAAATTAATGACCAGTATATTGCAGTACAAGGAGCAGAGTTGACAAAGACCATAGATATTGAAGAAGCTGACCCACCACAGCTGGGCGACTTTACAAAAGACTGGGTGGAATACAACTGTAACTCTAGTAATAGCATTTGCTGGACGGAAAAGGGCCGCACTGTAAAAGCAGTATATGGTGTGTCCAAACGGTGGAGCGACTACACTCTGCATTTGCCAACAGGAAGCGATGTGGCCAAGCACTGGATGCTACACTTTCCTCGCATTACATATCCACTGGTGCATTTAGCCAATTGGTTATGTGGTCTGAATCTTTTTTGGATCTGCAAAACTTGTTTTAGGTGCTTGAAAAGGTTAAAAATGAGGTGGTTTCTTCCTACGGTGCTGGACACAGGACAAGGTTTCAAACTTGTCAAATCTTAATTTGGACCCAAATGCAAGATGTGGCTGAGTTCATACTACCAATTATCACTAACTTGCCATTTTTTTTGTATGCTGTATTTTTTTTGTGGAAAATACCTTCCTATTTCTGTAGCTGCCCTCACTTTGTCTTTTCTCAAGTAATTATGGTATAGGTAAGGTGTTGGAATAAGCATTACTTTATATTAAAAGTAGGTTGGGAATCAAATGCTAACTCTGTAAATGCATAAGAGATGTTAAAAATAACTGCACTTTCAGGAATGTTTGCATATGCCTCTGATTAGAAAGAAAGCAGTCTTCTATACTCTGTAATGGCCAATGAAGAATTACTAATGCCTTATTTTCTAGGCTTAGGGAATGTAGACCAGACAAATTGACTACTTTGTGAAAACTGTTAATTTACTTAGAGAGGATTCTTTTCTGTGAATGATAGCTTTGAGGTTTCAAAACCATTGGAAGGATGACACTCTTAGAAGAGGAAACTTATCCAGAATGAATGCAGATTTTACTTATACTCCATCACAGTCAAACGTCTTGCTTGTGACCTGTTAACCAGTGTATCTGGGAAGCCAAAATTATTTTTTTCAAATCAGAACATTCTTCATGTAGATAGCTCTAAGAGGTTAGATTCTATAAATTTTTCCTTCATGCATTGGTGGGGGGGGGGGCTTTAAAAACTGCTAATTTAAAGAGTCTCAGGGTAACAATATTTTATTAAAGAACAGTATTTCCAGCCAGAAATTCCTCCCAAATAAATTGTCTTCCTTTTGAAAAAGTACTCATAAAAGAAATTTAGCAGTTTCTCACTGACTGAATGAGAAATATTCAGTAAAGTTTTTTATCTCTATAGTTGCTCTGCTGTGAAAATTATTTTTCAAATTCCCATTAATTGATAGACATTTTTTCTACTGAAGGTCAAAAGATAGGAAAAGGTCAGTTTTTTCTAGTGTACACGTAATGTATTATGTAAAAAAAAAGTATTCATACTGGCAATTTTAGTTCAGCATAATAGTGTGGTTGTAATTTTTAAACTTAATTCGGTGTTTTTTTGTCTCCTTTAGGCAGGCACTGATCAGGGTATCTCCTTAGTGGTAATTCATTTCATATTCCCTTCCAGTAATCCTTGCATTCCAAGTTGCCATCTTTGAGAAATAACAAGAAGGGAACAGAATTAAGTTGGGAGGTAATCTGGTCTTTGTTACTAAAATGCAGTGACTTCTCACCATTGAAGCCATTTTCCAACCTCAAAGGAAATAATGCCTCCACTATTTTCTACCTGGTGACTTTGCACACTGAGGTCTTAGTTAGGAAGAAGTCACTTAGTGTCAGGGAACTTGTATACCACTATCTATGCAGCATTGTTGCAGTCTGGTTATTTTTATGTATTGAATGTGATTTTCCTAATGCTTTGAATAAAATTTTGTTAAAAATTAGCTTTTCATTTAATGTGCAAATAACATTGATAGTTTAGTATATTAAAAGTGGTAGTTATAAAAATGCTCATTTTTAAGAGTTCACATTTGGTGGCAGGTCGATTTTAAATTTTCACATATTCTGTTAAGTATTTATATTAGCATTACCCGAATGAAATGGTTTAATGTTTTATGACATGTTTATTCAGAAATAGTACAGTAGAAAAGCCAAATGTTAAAAATATGAGTTTATGGCTTCAAAACCCACTCAAACTTATGCTAAATAGAATCTTTTAAGTTTCTTGGCTAGGGATGAACAACTTTGCTTTAACTAAAGCAAATCTCTTCACTCTGAGAAAGACAAATAGTAAAGTATAGCCCCCATTCTTTATATAGTTTAAAATGGTACCAAAAATTACATTAGGTACACAAACTGATAGCCACAAAGCTAAGTTTTTGGTATGTATTTTCTGTTTTTCTTGCTTTTTTCTTTCATTTGATATGAATTTTCTGTAAACATCTCTCCTCAAAAGGTCTTTGGGCTAAAAATCTGACTTAAGCCTACTTATTAACCAAAAAATGTGCACTCTGATGAATTTTCCTACCAAAAAAACTGAGTGACTCTTCAGGATGGTTTCCTAAATTAAAGCTGCTGAGTTTAAAACATGAGTGTAGCAGAATGGAAAAGTAAGTATTGGTACAAGAAGTGTAAAGTAAATAGATACTTTTACCTAAAGATTAAAAAGCAGAGATGACAGTTGATGAAAATAATTAGCCATTGCCTCTTAATTTTATAAATTTAATTAGGAAGGAGTTTAAACTTAGAGTGAAATAAGCTATTTTAGGCAAAACTACCATTTTACTAAAAAGGAGGTGACATGGAAATGCTTTTTAAAATAATTTGACTTATTTCCATATATGATACCTGCTAAAATCACTAAAGTACCAGACCCTAAAAACATCTTTTGAAAAATCTATATATACCATTGAATATTAAACAAAGGAGGCAAGTTCTTTCTCTAAATTCAGTTATTATTTTATTTAAAACTCTTGTTTATTTTGATCTAAACTCTTCCTCCCTAGGAAATTGGCATTTGTCTTTCCATAGAATTCAACCTTGCTCTTAATAAATTCAAAATTCTATGGAAAAGTGATATGATATGATAGTGTTCTCATAAATGCTTTTAAAAAATACATTCTCAGTTAAAATGCATTTATATGTAATGCATTGGTAGGTCCATTTTTGTTTTCAGTAAAATCTATTTGTAATTGTTTTGTTTGTAACTTTTTGGCTTAAATATATTTGTTGTTTTGGGTACTACTTATTTATACATATTCTTTCATAAATAGGGCTTAGTCTCTAAGAAATATTCTGCTTTACTGTTCAACAGGTGATATGATAGTTAATATTATGTATGCCAAGGCAATGGTTTAACAATATAAGATATTTGACAGTAAACGATAAAAGGAGTTAGATCTGTCAGTACTTTTGCATGTCTTCTCTATTAGAAACTGCTAGACTGGTATCCCTTTAGGCAGAGCTCACAGAGTTAGACATTTCTGACAAGATTTCCTAGAAGAGTGCCTTACCCACAATAAGAGCTATTTAATAAATATTTTTGACTGAGTGAATGTATTTACAATGGTAAGAGAAATTGGAATCATCAAATTTTACTACATTTCCCCTACAATTTTATTTAAATGGATATTATTGCAAGATCATTAAGAAAATAATTTAGCAAAAGGAAAACAAATTTCATATTTGTAGTTAAAAGACTGAGTGTTAAGATGAGGGAAGGAAAAACTTTTAAGACTGATTTGGATAGCTGACTTGTTTTGGGGCTGAGCCCATTTCCATCATGATTCTAATAATTTTTAATTTCCCCATTACTACATTTATACATTGGAGGCTTATCGCAAGTGGAAATTATTAAAGTCTTGACTGCTGAACAAAGGAATTAAGCTGTACATATTGGTGATGGCTAAATTGTGAAGTCAGAAAAATAGAGCTGTTAACATAATTGGGTTAAGTACAAGTTAGGGAAACTGCAAGTCTTTTTAGAGTATCCTCCCTTATTTACTAGTTGTAATACATTGAAATAAAATATTACTAAGATTTAAGCAGTAATTATTTAGAACCATTCTGATGGGATAATTTACATTTATATATTTTAGGAAATATTAGATTAGCAATGATTCAAAATTGAAATGTGAGCTAACCAGGTTTCTTTAAAATGTTGGGTGTTTAAAAACTAGTTGATTTTTTAAAAATTGATTAATCATCTTATGTGATATAACATTTTGTAAGTTTGAAATTAAAAAGAGGTAAGCAATTTCACTAAAACTTTTTATTTGAAAAACAGGTCTCCCCATCTATTGCCCAAATGCCTGAAACACCCAAGACTGGACCAGGCCAAAGCCAGGAGTCCTGAACTCATGGCAGGTGTCCCATGTGGATAACAGGAACCCACTTACTTGGGCATTTACCTGCCACCTCCCCGAGTGCACATTAGCAATAAACTGGAATCAAGAGTAGAGCTGACAGTTGAATCCAGGGAGACTGATAGGGGATGTAGGTGTCCCAAGTGGTGTCTTAACTGCTACTCCAAATGTCCACCCCAATTTTAGTGAAGTTTTGTTACTTCATCCAGACTTAGAAAATATTGATTTATCTGAAATCAAAAATCTCAGCAATGTACCAGGGATAAATGAGGAACATGGCGTATCTTCCTAGAGGTTGCCATCTGCTGGTTCACTTCCCCAATGGTCATGATGCCTGGGACCGGGCCAGGCCAAAGCCAGGAGCGTCTCCCACGTGGATGCAGGACCCAAGCACGTGGACCATCCTCCACTGCTTTCCCAGGCACATTAGCATGGAGCTGGTTCAGAAGTGAAGCAGCTGGGACTTGATTCTCAGAGCACTCTTCATAGGATGTTGGCTCTAAAGGCAGCTTTACAATGCCAGTCTCTCCCTTTCTCCCAACACTAAATTTTTAATTCCATTTTTCCAGACATTTTGATGCTCCCGTGTACATCAGGACATCTAGTTGGTCATAATTTCAGTGTGGGAGAAAACGAAAAAGTCCAAGCAACTATGTTTAGGTAATTATACTCCATTATTCCTGGACAGGGGAAGGACCTGACACTGGGATATGGTATCCCAGGAGCTTAGCTGATGCAAAGGTTTAGAACCAAGAGGAGCAAAGGGCTAAGACTCAGGCTCTTGGAGAGAAACAGATATGAAAACCAAGCAAACTGCTCAGTTGATACCACTCGGAGTGACATGATCCAGTGCTGGGGTGACAGGACAAAGGCAGATGAGAGCAAATGAGAGGAAAGGCTCCCTCAAGTCACAAGAGCAAAGCAGAAATGCTGTGGATATATTTAAAAGGGTCCTGAAGTAGAGTAGCATAGAAGGAATGAGAAGTAATCAGGATTTATGAAGTGCAGTGAGATAACTAACATTTCCCACTATTTCTTTAAAGTATTTTTTGGCAGGTCTGATTCATTTTTATGGTCTGGATGAAAACTCAGGCTGTTCCATGTTTTTTTTTGTTTTTTTTTTTTTTTTTTTTTTTTCCCTAGTCATACTTTGAAGATACGGCCTCAATTTAAGAATGAGGATGATCATTTGCATGGAACTAGTAAATATTCCAACTTCATCAAAAATCTAACTACATCCAGCTGGGGCAGAGCACAGGGCCAGCCACTTCTTTCTTTACCCCTTGAGGAGTGAGGGGAGATGGAGGGGTGGTAGGAGAGGTGGTGAGGGCAGGCCCTCTGCATGTTGCTGACCTTTACAGCAAGAGGCTTCCCTGATGCTCCTCTTCCTGGGGAGCTCCCATCCTCCCATGTGTTTATTTGCCTGACTCCAGAGACTAAGAATTTATTTGATATCCCAAGCTTCTCTCTGCTGAGGTCTGTTTTCTGTTCTCAGCCTTTGTGAGCATCCTGTAGCCATACACCAGCCCAGTGTTCAGGGGCCTCCTTTGGTCAGTGGGAAACCCTTTCACAACCTTTGCCCTAGCAAGTGGGGCCGTGCAGGCAGATCTGCAATTATGTCTACAGCTTGTTTTAGTATCTGGCCAGTCCTTAGGGTTCCTCAGGCAGGAGTCAACAGCAGCCCAGGATGCCTGCCCTGTTAGCCAGCTTTTTGTTACTTTAACCAAAATACCCGAAACGAGCTTCTTGGGAAGGAAAAGGTTCATTTCGGCTTATACTTCGGAGGTTCCCAGTTCAAGATCAGATGTCCCCTTTAGTCTGGCATCTGCTAGAGGCTGGCAGTGGAAGAACATTGCCACCCAGTGAAGTCATGAAACAGACACAGGAAGCTCGCCTGGTTTATAAAACCAACCATCTCTGCAGAACTACCTTCCAAGGGCATGCCCCCAATAATACCAAGACCTCTCACCAGGCCCACATACCAGAGGCCATAGTTAGATCAAATCTCCACCCTTACTCCATCCACTATTAACCTAAGACTTCAGGGTTTAAAAGTCTGCAAGAGTTTGGGGAGTCAAGTCCTGTTCATAATACTGGCCAACTGTAGGTCCATGACCAACCTCTCTGAGGAGCCAAATTAGAGCCCTTTCACTAGGATTTGAGGTGAGGCATAGCCCCCCCAACAAGTACCCCCTTCTCAGTTGCAACTACTTCCAGCACTGTAAGGACTCTCCAATGAGACCTTGAAATCTGCCTTTAAGAGCCAGCTTCCAAAGCCTTGATATCTTCTAGATGGGAGGGATTTAAGTCACATGACTTATTCTTGACCTTCTTCATGGGCATTTTTCTTCCTTGGCTGGATTCTCACTGTCGTCACAGTGATTTTAAACTGAGGGTCTCTAGGTTTAGATATCGTTTTCCACTAGCAATAACTCATTTTAAGTATAATGGGAAAAATTATACTAACAGCACCAGATTTAGGTAATATCACATTAAACAGAAAGGAAATCCTAACTATATTAAAATGTGTAAGAGCAGACCAGATACAGACACAGCATATTTTTGTAGGGGATGAATAT